TGTTCATCTGGAGCCGGGCTGAGTATAACAGGGACTCTCTAAGAATCCACCCCCCTTCACTCACACACATCGTTCAACCAAACAGGTATTTGTAAGCCCAGGGGGGGCAGAAAAAGTTTGGAAACCACTGGTGTAGGTAGGCAATTGTAAGCATTTCACATAGTTATTTGGGCCTGCCCATAGCATTACATGGGGAAGTGCTCTTCCCCATGTAATGCTATGGGCAGGCCCCCATTGTTCTACACCCAATAGAATGTCTCTTTAATCTTTATTATTCTTCCATCACCGTGCAACCCCCACAAAAGTTGTATCAAAACGTGCGGCTCGATGCCGAGAAGGGAGCTATTACTTTTAGTGGGATTCTGAGATAAAATGACGACATAAATTGAGAAAAACGAGAAAAGTTTAGGCTGAGTGTCTCACAGAATCACTAAGATTTCTCTCTGAAACACACACACAGGACAGTGGAGGTCTGACTCCAAAACTCTTTTTAACTCCCCCTCACAGGCACAGATAGCGGCCTGTTGATCTCAAAGTTGGTCATGACATAGATACACATCCCGTAAAATGTTTTCAAAATTTTCCTGGGGATTATGGTTTTTTTGTCAGGGTCCTGGAGACCGACGCTAGGTGTCTCACAAGTATAGAAATCAGCATCCTGCCTGACAGAGAGAGCCAGCCCAGGTGCAGATCATTAATTACCATAGCAACGGGTCCTAGACAGAGGCAGCGAGTCTCTCAAGCAAGAACAGACTCAGGTCTCACAATGCATTGTGGGAAGAATACATATTTCCTGTGACTATTCATGTTTTGCTTACATAAAATTATTACTTCTCTGAATATTTAAGTGTAAATTAAAACCCTTAGTATGAAGGTTGAATTTTTTTTCAGAAAAAAATAATGATCAACTTAATGTTTTTTTTGGACCATGAGTAAGAACCACGTGTCCGAAGCTTATAGTCGTTGGTCTCGGACTGAATTTCACTGATTTGGGATTTAACCATTGCATTTTAGTGGTCAGTCAGGTCATCCACATCACCTTGAACATTCCTTCAGTCACAGGCCTCTGATGCTGGATCTATTTTTCAGGGCAAATATGAAGTGATGGGCATACTTCAGAAGGCCCTGTAATATTTCTGCAGGAATTTTTTTGTTATTATTGGGGCCTGCCCATAGCAATGCATAGGGAGAGCAGTGACTGAAGCCATGCATTGCATGGCAGGCACCCATTGTGCAATGTCTCTTTATTATTTATTATTCTTCAGTCACCGTTAATGCGGCTCGATGCCGAGAAGGGAGCTATTGTTTTTTTCCCTCAGGATGACATGACATGAACATTAGAAAAAACATTAGCATTTCCTGGGTGTCTCGTAAAGATAGAAATCCTTCTCCAGCTTTCTGTCTCACACACAGCAGTTGGCTGAGGATTCATCACTATAGCAACATAATACAGAGAAAGGCAGAGCAGCTGGTTTGGGCTACAAAGACTCTGTAGTTCTAAACATGGCGGAACACTTTAATACAGAGGGCAGAGCAGAAGGTCAGAACTACAACATGGCGGAACACTTTAATACAGAGGGCAGAGCAGAAGGTCAGAACTACAACATGGCGGAACACTCAGTTACTACAGAGGAGGCCTCAGCTGGCATTCAGAACTACTTGTGCTTTGAGCATTATATAACTGATTTAACCTAATCACTATTACACATGAAATTAGTGTGGCCATTTCAAATGAAGCTTACTGAAAGTTTCAAAATAAAAGCCTCATTAATACCATCCAGTAGGTGAACCGCTGCAGGCGGTGCAATTACATTAGGTTTAATAATCTTTCTCCCTCGAGTTAGTGCTCCACCTTATGCAGTGCAATAATATGAGCCTTTATTAGCATTTTATCTCAAGTTATGGCACTGGCTTGCGGAAGACAGTGCATTAGTATTAGCATTTCACCTAAAATAAGCTTTTAGCCAATGTTTTTACTTATTAGCCATGTTTAGAATACTGAATGGAGTAAGTGCCACATACTGAATGGTACAAGAACAGCTTAGTCCACATGCTTCTGACTCCACAGTTTATTGACTACATTGAAGCTTTCTTTAGCATTAAGGCTAATTTTTAGCATCAGAACGCTGGGTCCAAACCGACGGGTACACTTTGGCAGGCCCCTTAAAATTTCTGTAGGAATTTTCTAGTTGTTAGCCAACATGCTACTGTGACATGCTAACATGAACTGAGGAGAGAAGTAAAACATGCAGGAGGCCAGCCCTCCTGGACCCACTTTGGACACCACTGACCTACAAAAACCCATGAAGCAGCACGGCTCATCGTGTTTTTATTTTAAAGAAAAAAGTGCATATTGAGGTCAGCTCTACTCTGGAACCCATTTCAGCTTCTTGTGTTCATGATCTGGTTCTCTCACTCAGCTGAGGGTTGGGAGGTAGAAGGAGAAATAAATCCTGAGCTTCATCTCGTAAGCTGCCACAGACTCCTTCAGTTATGGAGATGAATTTTCTCCATGCTGATTTCTGAGGAGACCAACATGTGGACAGGATGATCCACATGTTCAGCTCAGAAACCTGATACCTTCAGGTTTCTGAGCTGAAATTATGAAGAGGCTGAGGTTGGATTAAAGACGGATGTTTGGACTCAGATATTAATCTTTGAATGACTTGAAATGTGTTTAGGACATTTCCCCACAGTCAGACCTTACTGGTTCCCAGCAGGAAAAGCCCGGCACCGGATCCTGTCCATCAGATGTGAGGGAGAACCCGGAGCGGGTTTCTCCTTCCACAGCCAACAGGAAGTTAACATGATTAACTCAGATGTGCTCATGATGACAGAAGGTGATCGGACGCTGTTTACAGACGGCGGAGTTCATTTCCTGTCTAATGCTTTATGATATCAGAGGAAAATGACATGAGTGGGTGTGTGTGGGACGACTGCTGAAGAAGCCAAACAGAAATCATTATCTGATCTGGGACAGAGATGGAAACAGCCTCCACTGTTTATTCCTCCCTGACAAACCTTTTCTGACTTTGTTCTTCATCATCAGTACTTGTATAGATGGACTGGTTTCCATAGAGACGGAGCCAGCTGCTGATGAACCGAGTCATTTTACTTCACTGATACAAAAATAAGGCAAATGAAGAGAAGGAGGAAGAAAGTAACTGTTATCAATCTGTTTCATCTCCAGATATTCAGAGGATTACAGCAGACATCTTCAGCCTAATTTAGGTTTTTGTCAGTATAGGTGCAGCCCTTTAAGCTGTGGGCCTCACTGGTTCCTGAATAGCTGAAGAAAAAGGCTGTTAAGGAGCTATTTGTCCGGTCTGACCATTATTGAAACAGACCAGGGTGGGGTGGACCCAATAGGTGGGCGTGGACTAAGCTTTATTCAGTGTTGCGCTGCACATGAGGGATAAACCCACTAGCGATAGCCTTAACCTTGTATGTAGAAATGGGGTCCAACCGACTCCACACACGTAAAACTTGTATCATTTTCCACAGTCCTCTACATTTGCCTCAGTCCTCACACACACAAGGGTTAAAGGGCGAAGCCTATGCTCATAGAATCTGGGGTTACAATACATAACCAACAACTTCTATGCTAATGTTTACCAGTCACAGGGAAAATTGGACATTGGAAATATGGAAAGATTTTTTGAAAATTTGAATCTGCTGAAACTACCATCGGATTCGGTTGAAGCACTGGAAGCCAGGGTAGCTGTACAGGAAATTGAATCTCTACCCTTCCCATCAACAAAGGTCCTGTCGGCTTCAGTGTCGAGTTCTTCAAAGTATTCAGTCTCAAATTATCGCCTCTACTTTTGCGAGTGACAAGACTGCCTCCCTCTTTATACAGAACCAATATTTCACTCATTCCTAAACCTGACTGAGATCCAGGGGTTGATTCGTCCTGTCACCCAAATACCATTGCTATCTCTAGAAACCAAAATCCTTGGGAAAATTTTAGCCAATAGCCTAAAAAAATACATAGATTTAATCATCCACCCAGATCAGACTGGCAGACTAGCATATGTTTTTTAATCTGTGCCGTCTTTTCAATATGTTATATTCAAATCATTCAGATGAGTGTATTGATGTTTGGCTAGATGCACAACATGCATTTATTTGATCAAGTAGAATGACCTAACATAATGTATGTTCTCAACAAATTTGGTTTTGGACCCCTGTTTACAAAATGGACAGAAATAATTTATCCGCATTACTAATCAGAACATCTCCTGCCGCTTTGCTTGTGAGAATTAGTTTTTGTCTGTGTGTTAATTGAGGTTTCTGTGTTCTGTTGAGTCTCATGTTGTCCCGATTGCTCCCAGCTGTGCCTCGTTCCCCTGATTACCCTCTGTGTATTTAAATCCACCCTGTCTCTTGTTTCCCTGTCGGGTCCTCGTCTATTCAGTCATTTGTTTATGTCACATGTCTACATTTGTTCCAGTTGCTACCAGTTTCTGAGCTCCTAGCCTTCTGCTCACTGCGTTTACCTCACCTCCTACATACCGCACATCAGGACATTGCTGTTCATCAGCCCCCTTTCCCTGTTTCTCTTCTCAGTCAATATTGAACCTCTGACTGCCAGCATTAGGCAAAACCCCCTAAAATCTCCCATCAAGCTGATCTGGTGTATTTGAGGTCCACACCATTTAAGGTAGCTTATGATTCCTTCACATATTTGTGATGGTAACAAAAGAAAAACAGAACATCTCCTACATCTGAACTGGCAGAGCAAAAGTCTTCACTTTATACTAATAGAATATTGATTTCTGGAGGACTGTCTCTCTATCCATGGCTGGCATGATCAACGCCATTAAAATGTGGTGTTACCACCATTTCTTCATTTACTTCAATCTGTCCCATGTTTTATAGGTGTATCCTACTTCAGATGATTAGATTCTTTTATTATTCCCTTTATTTGGGGCTATAAAAATGTCAGAATCTCAAAAAAAAAAAAACAGTTATGTAAACCAGGAATGGAGGGTGGGTTCTCTCTACCAGATTTCAAGCAATATTACTGGGCTTTCCATTGATCCAACCTGGCCTGGTGGAGGAAGGGCCCAGTCTCATCTGATGGGTCCTGCCCTACCTGGTCATCTTTAGAGCGTCTGCATTGTTGCAAGTCGTCCCTGACAGCCCTCCTTAACAGTCCTGTTAGTCAGTAAATCACTCTACTAATAATTTTGTCATTAGCAATACTATCAGAATCAAGAAGCAGATACAAACATTTCTAAAAGCTCCAGAGGTTTATTTTGATACTCCTATCTGTGAAAATCGCTCCTTTGCGCCAGGTCTCAGCGACGCCGTCTTTTGGATATGGAGAGTGAAGGGCATTGGTGTGATAGGTGACCTATATATTACTGGAACTTCTGCATCTTTTGCACTGTTATGTTCTGACTATAATCTTCCCCTGTCAAGCTTTTTCCGTTATCTGCAAGTTTGGGACTAGGATAGGAAAAATGTAGCGGATTTTGGAGCTTTAAAGAAACATGAAACCCTGGAGGACATAAATAAATTTGATCCTATCTGACCCGGTCAGGCACTGATGGACGCAGGGACTGAACAGAGAATACAAAACAGTTGTTTATTAAGAAATAAACTTGTTCTTAGTCAGACAGGCCAGGGTCAGAACCAGGGAATCCAGATCGGGATCAGGCAGTTCCTGATCTTGGGGTCAGACAGACAGGGGGTCAGAGCCAGGAGGTCTTAATCCAGTGGAGAGGGTCAGGACCGGGGACAGGAGAGGCAACTAGGCAGAAGGAAGAGACAGACAGGTTAGTTACTGGGCAGTTAGCTCAAATTTCTACAGCAGGCCTGAACGTGTTACCGCTGAGGGTTTCACAACAATCTGACGCTGTGCAGGGGGAAGCGCCGTCCTTATATAGCAGCAGCTGGGGATCAGGGTGATGACGATCAGGTGTGAGTGGTCACAGCTCAGCAGCAGCTGTGACACTATCAATCAAGGGGCAGTGTCATACTTTTATAAGGTCTTTAATAGCATACCTGTAGACACAACCAGGATAAAGAAAGCATGGGAGGATGAGTTAGAGCAGCAGCTATCTGAGGAAGTGTACAAGACCGTTCAGTCAATGCCAGACACAATCTTATCCAGTTCAAAACTTTACATAGACTCCATTATTCCAGGGAGAAGCTGAGCACTTTCTTTACAAGCGTGTCTCCAATTTGTAATTGTTGTCAGGCTGCTAACTTGACACACTCCTTCTGGTCATGTGTTCAGCTTCACTCACTTTGGAAGACAATCTTTCACTTTTTTGTGACAATTTTTGGAAAACAATGGGACCCAGGCCAGAACCAATTATTGCCATCTTGGGGCCCTCCAGTGCTGTCCAATCAGCCACTAAAAGTGAGAAAATGGCTGTTTTGTTTTGAGTGGTGATTGCTAAAAGGTTGATTCTGAGATTTTGGAAGAAGGACTCTGTGCTCACATTTGATCTGTGGTTGGGGGAACCAGCAAATACTCTACATGTGGACAGACTGAGATCACAATGAAGATGGTCAGTGTGGTTGAGAAGATATGGGACCCTGTACTGTTAATGACAGTAATGCAAATGAAAGTTAATGCCACTGCTTGGTTGTTTGTGTAACTGTCTTTTTTATGTTTACTCGTGGAAAGATTTGGATCAATTTGTTTAGTATTTATCACATGTTGTCTTGACTGTGTAACTGTTTTATGATGTTCTGATTTTGTGCGGGTTAGGGATGGATGGGTGGGAATTTGACCTGTTTTGTTAATATATGTCAAAATGTAAAAAAAAAAAAAACTGGACTTTATCTGCAGCCTGTGTCTTCATGGTGGTTCCTGATGAAGACCAAAAGCTGTTTTGATTCTGATGGTGCTGCAGCGGCTCTGAGATCCAGAGATGAATGGGACCGCTCCGTCTCTGCTGCAGCCTCCCAGTCTGGCCCCACTGGCTGTAATCTCATGAACAAAGTCACATCCTGACAGCTTACTGAGTAATGTGGCAGTCGGAAGTACTGAAGGAACGCTGGGGGAAGATCTCCAGATTGCCCCTGTGGTTTTCTCTGAAGCTGCACCTGGCCAGGTGTTTCTGTTTAACTCATCGTCTGAAAACTGAACAGTGCTTCACCTCGTCTCTTTATTAGGCAAAGCAACTGTCACCCAGTTTCCTTTACAATAATGAACTGAACCTGACTGGATTGTTGAGAATTGTATTGAAATGTTTAACTGACTGCATAGTTGGATCGGCTCCGAATCAACTTGACAGATTGTCTGGTAAACTTCTTTCAGATGACTTTTGTTGTGAATCTGTCATGTATAGAATAAATCAGTTGAGTAAATGTGAATATCACTGAGAGTCCTGAGCCACAGCAGCCCTGCTTGGCTGGACTCTTTGTTCTGTTGCTTTCCTTGAATTCATTTCCCTCGGTTAGTTCAGGTATCTGACTTTTGGATTTGTTGTTTGCTTTTTGTATGATCTTCTAGTTTATTGAGATTCTTATTTTATGTGTTGGATTTATTAATGTTTCTCTTAAGGCTTCTTCCTAGTGTCTGTCAGACTCTTTAGAGTTTGTTTCACCCTGTTGATGCTCTGAGGAGGAGGAGACATGACCTGATGTCAGAGAGAAGAGCAACGGAGCGTCCAAATCCACCAGATGAATCGGTGCCATGATTTGATTGTACAATAGATGTGCAGGATAATCATACAGTGCATCACAATCTTCATTTCATGTCTTGTAAAATCACACAAAAGGGACTTAAGAAAGCAGATATTAACACTGGTAGCATATGAAATAAGTTAACAAATGTAAAGTAAAATATTGTCATCAGCAAAGATTAACATTTGGATTTTGGAAACCCACCTCGACAATTCATTTCACAACAGAGAACTAAACCACGGTCATAAGGAATGCATAAGAATAGATGCACCGAATAACAACTCACCCGACTCAGAACCAACCAGCTGCCTGGCTGATGTTCTGAAACAAAAACCCAGAGTACGACGGAGCTGGGTGAGGGTCCGCAGACTGTCTGCCTTCTGCTCAGAGTTTAACCTGAAACCTCATTAGAATAACCTGGTTCTGATGGGAAACATCGATTAATCCATGATGCTGTTTCAAACATCTGGTCCAGTCTTTTCTTCCTCAGTCTAACATGTTGGAGCTCATCTGATCCTCTGCAGGACTTACAGTCACTTCCTGTCTCTGACTCTGAATTATTACAGTTTAAGTCAGTGGTTTCCAAACTTTTTCTGCCCCCCCCCCTGGGCTTACAAATACCTGTTTGGTTGAACGATGTGTGTGAGTGAAGGGGGGTGGATTCTTAGAGAGTCCCTGTTATACTCAGCCCGGCTCCAGATGAACAGGGGGGGAACCGACTTTTTGGGGGGCAAAATGAATCATAGCTGAAGATAGACAACACCAGTAGCCTACAGGCTACTAGTTAACAAGCTTAAGGTGCTGTATTGATAATAGCTAGCTAGTATTCTGTTAGCTAACATTACCTGCATCCAGCAGCTTCACTCAACTCAGTCGGTTAGTTTGGAGGGAAAACTGTGAAAAGTTCTTTGTGTTTTGCTGCCATGATTCTAACACACCTGTAGCCCCGCCCAGCAGCAGCAGGTCTCCTTCACAGGTGGAAACCCAGCGCGAGCGTCGTAGCGCTCATGTTGCGTTTAAAGGCGGCTCGGAAAAACAGGTTACGACATGTTAACAACGGATTAAACAGTTTTAACTGCTGATAAAAGTGACAGATATGGGAAGTGTGGAAGCCCCTACTGTATCTTATTGACAGAGGAATAACAGAGTTGGCCATTCTAAGGTAAAAACCCAGCGCATACAGCGTTCATGTTTTTTTTTGTTTTTTTTGTCATCCAGAAGACTTGTCGCGTACCCCCTAGGGGGCGCGCCCCACATTATGGGAACCTCAGCTGTGTGAAACTGACACCCCACTCACGTCAAAAAATCCAGCAAATAGTCTGAATGGTTAGTGCTCCGTTTGTGCAGGTTTGTGTCGTTAAAATTTTCGTTTGTGCAGTTTTGGTTTCT